CATATTTAGTTTATTTATGAAAAATTTTTAATAAATTATTGAAATTATTTATGATTGATTATTTAGGAATAATTCTAACTTTTTAATATAAAATTTTAAAATAAGCAATTAAATTATAAATGTAACAGTGAGCAAGAAAGTAATACGAAATTTATAAAATAAAATCTTTTTCTTTTCTAATCATTTATTTTCTCTTTTTTTTTTCAGAGAATATTTCTGTAAATCTATAAGGATAAAATGTAACAAAATTTTGAAATATTTTTCGTTTCTATTTTATTTTTATTTTTTACAAAATAGTAACTAAATAAATATATGATAAATATATATGAAAAAATAAATATATGAAAACTGATAATTTTTAAATTTTCTCAACTTTCCTTCTTCTTTTTTTTTTTCAGGAACTTCTCAATAATCCCTCAACGAATGCAATCGAAAGTAAAGAAAATATATTACCATGGAGGTTAAATGAATCAGGTCACAAAATACATACCTATCATTGTACCTATCACTCATCATCATTCGCTAAATCATCTGATTAGTGTATTGTTTTATGAAAAAATGACTGATGTTTTGGTTTATGAAAAAATTTTTTAATTTTAAATTCACTCATCTGTTTGTACCATATAATTATGGCTTAAGGTTTTGTTTGTTTGTTTCTTTATACTATGAGATCAAATTAATAAAGCAATTTTTCATGATCAATTGTAAAAGGAAAAAAATCAATAAAGATCGAAAAAACATTTGAAACAAATTTAAAAGTAACTTTTAGCTAATTTAAATCCAAATATTTTAGGTTTTTTGGCAATTAAATTTCTGTTTTACTAGGACAAAATTAATGATTTAATGAATTTTTTAAAATACATTCAATAATATTTTCATTATTTAATTAATTCTTCTTTTCTTTTTCAAACAGATATTTTTGGTTTGTTTTAATATGTGTTGCAACTTTTTTATTTTCTTTTCATTCTTGATTTTGTACTTTTCTTTCATCGAATTTATACCTTATAGTTCAGATTTGAAGAAATCAGTCTATCTCGTTTCTTTTTGAACAAATATTTCTCAATGTTAAAGCAAATATCTCTTTCAGTGGTGGATAAATTAACGTATCTCATTTCAAATAACAACAAAAAAAGGAAAAAAAAAATTAGAATATTAGAATTAATCTAAACTTTTAAGAAAACATTTTCTTACATTATTTCCTTGCGCTTTTACATAAATTATAAATATTGTTGCAACAAATAATAAATATTCGCAATAGATTTTCACATCAAATAATTTTATTCCTTAAAAAAAAAAAAAAAAAAACTTTCTCTAATGACATTTGTCATTTAAGTGCAATTGAAGAGCAAAAAACAATTAAAATAAATAAATAAATAAACAAACAAACAAACAAATAAAAGGAAACTAAATAAATCTGCCAATAATCAAATTTTATCATCGCAATATAATGCAGAAAACATATGTCATCATTTTGATCCATAATTTGCTACAGTTACAATCCTAAAACAGATGTCCATCTATAAACGTGATTTTTTTTTTTTAAAAAAAAAAAAAAATTATTGATAGAATTATTTTCAAATGTGATTAAAATTAGCCCAGTACATTTGCGCATTAAATATGACAGCATATTAGCATAGCATATTGTAATATGATTTTTTTTTTTTTTTTTTTTTTTTGTTGTTAGAATTGACTTACGGATTAATTAAGTGCAAAATATTGGCTAAATATTTAAAGTTTTGATTGAAAATTTCACATATGCAAAAATTTTAAATAAACAACTTTTTATGCTTTGTAATTTATAAATGTATTTGCATTGATGTAAATTATTTTTATTGAAAAACTATTTCAACTTTTAATCATTTAAAATTAATTAGAGATTAATAGTATCGATTTTTTGAATGTACTTTTTTAATTTCAAATGTTTCAAGTGTAATTAATTAATCAACTATCAAATATTAATCACTTAATTGATTTTTAAACACAAATTAATTAACATAAATCAGTCAGGGAAACTCATCAAAATACTAACACATAAATTAAATTAATTGAATAAACACTAATTGAAGTAACAGTGAAAAATAATCTCTAACCTATGCTACACAAACTAAATAACTTCTGATATCTGTTGGATAAAGCAAATAACCTCTGACCTATGTTATATTGTTTGCTAACAATCTGGGAAGAATTGTGAAACGATGGAATTGTCAATAAATGGCGCCAACGAGGATAAGTAAATTCCTTAAGTCAATATGAATAAACAAAAACTATCACATTTAGATGACTCCATGCTAACAGTGCTTGTGTATTTTTCCGGATCCGGAAAGATACACAAACATGCATATACAAATAACAAACATTGGTGGGATAAGAATGATTGAAAAATAATCAGTGAGGATAATAAATTAGGAAAATAAATTAAATTTTAAAATTTTTTTATTAAAAGTTTAAAATGAAATAATATTTCTTTTTAGCGAAAAGTATTATTCAAAGAAATTTCAACAAAAAAATTATGAATGGATTGACTGAATAAAATACATTGAATTATTTTATTTTTCTGATTTATTTTAAGAAAAAAAAAATTAAAATTAACAATTCAATTGGAAGAATGAATTGTTTAGTTTTATTTTGTACTGTTAAAAAGTTTTATCATTTCCTCTGCAAAACAAGAATTATTGTTTCATTTGATTTGTATTATTAAGAAGTTTTAGCTTTTTTTTTTTTTTGTAAAAAATAAGAATTAATTTAAAAAATTTTCTCTTATTTTAGTTGTTTTGTAGTAATTATTATTATTTTTATTTGATTTTTTGTTTTGCTTCTTGGTGGTATGAAAAATTTTAGAATTTTTTCACACTCTTTGTTTTTAGAAAAGAAGAATGGTAAAATTTTGAATTTGAACCAAAAATTTTTTGAAATCGAACTGAAATTCAAATTACTGTAAATATATAACTTTCATTTAATCATTGCAAAAATAAACGAAGACAAAAATAAATGAAATGAGAATAATTAATAAATAAATAAAATAAAAAAATTTGATGTAAAAAGTTGAAAGAAGAATTTGAAAAAAACAAAGTAAAACAAAAAAAAAAAAAAAAAAAAAAAGAGTAAATGAAAGAAAAGTTAAATTAGAGATATAAATAGGGATAAGTTCAAAGTTTATGAATAATTATAACTTCGATTAATACCACTTTTTTTTTCCTTTCTCTTTCTTTTTTTTTAACTTCATTATGATGTTTACTTCAATAATAACTTTAAATTGAAAACGAATGCCACACGTAACCAAATTACGTACGCATCTGTTCTCATTATTTCAAATTTTAGTGTAAGCCATATGGTTAAATGACATTTGAATTACACGTCCAATTGATTTCATTGATATACCTGTTGAACACGTGTTCAGTACTTTCAACAAAACAACAAAGCTCATTTTCCTCCTTTTCCTTCTCTTCCTTTCTCCCTCTTCCTCTCCCTTTCTTCTTCTCCTTTCTCATACTGAAATGGAATTGATAATTTTTTCAAATGTTACCTTACTTTAATTAAAAATATTTCTCATTGATCGAAATTCAAACTAAAACTGAATATCACTTATTTTATTTACTTATTTATAGACTTTGAACATTAGCGTTTTGTGTGCATTGTATTTCAAATCTTTGCAATGATAACTTTGCATCAAATTTTTGAAACAAAAAAAAAAAGAGAGAGAAGAAAAAGTTGCTAAAATAAATATGTTTTTCACATTAGAAATAAAAAAGAAAAAAAAATTCTGCACATTTATAGATATGACTAATTCATAAAACACATATTGAAGTGAAAAAGTTAACACTATAAAAAATAAATTTATAAAGTATCAAAGATTGGTCTGGTTTTTCTCATTTTTAAAGATTATAACAAACAGATGAATCATTAAAAGTTTTTTTTCCCTTTTTTTTTTTTGTCATAATAATCATAGAAAAATGAGCTTTCTTTTGCTGCATTATTCATTTAAAATGTTGATAGTGGAAATAATTAATAGTATCATGAAAGAGTGTTAAAATCATTCCAATCATCTTATAAGCATAAAATACTACTTAAAACGTACTGTCACCAAAAATGATGTCTCCTAATAATTTTCGACAATATTTTAATGAGACATTGGTTAAATTAAAATTTTTTTAATATTGAAGAACTGAAATTTTACATATATTTCATCTCAATTACATTTCTATTGAATTTCACATCATTATTTCGTTGCAAAATATTTGTTACACGAAAATTAACATAATAAAACTCATTCTAACGTAATGTAAAATTCTTTCTAATGTAAAATTCTTTTTACCTTTTTAAAATTAATAACTCAAAATATAGAATGATCAAATTCATCAAATATAATATATTATGGTTTCAATATTTGGATTAACCTTTATTATGCTGAATTTTCGAGTATTTATTTCTGTTTTACTTGAGCAATCCCACCAATTACTCATTGTTGGAAAGAGTAACATATGAAAAATGAAGAACTTTGGGAAAAAAATCCGAAAAATTTATCATTTTAACAACGAAGATATATGCTTCAGTTTTCTTTTTAAATTTATTTACTAATTTTCAATTTCATTTTGCTATTTCAGTCTATCAAATAGTAAAAAGAAAAGAATGAGAAATAGTAAAAAAAAAAATTGATAAATTCTCAAATGATTGAAATAAAATATACGACAATTTCGCATATCGACGTATTTCCTCCATTTTAGTTCTCATATTCAATACAAAATGATTCTATAAATTAGGGCTAGGAATTTTATAAGGATAATAGACCTAAAATTGAGTGTAAAATTTGTTATTTGAATACTTTATTGTTAAGATATATGGAAGGACAAATCATTATTGCATGTACAAATATTACGATGTCTCATTGAACCTTAAATTTGGATATTTGTAAGGAAAAATATATTTTGAATGAAAATTTTTTTGAATATAAAACAAGAAATGAAAATATTTCATATTCTCTTCTTTGATATTTTTCACTAAATTCAGTTTGTTGTGGTACTTCGGAAAAATGTTTGTTCACTTCTGATCGTACAGCACGAGAAATTGCAAAAATTGCAGCAATTGCGTTCTACTGAAATCAGTGTTAATTATATTAATAATAGTAGTAAGAAAATGGTTTAATTTTTTTTAAAGAAACAAAATAAATTGCATGATAAATAAAACTTTTGCAAAAAAAAATTTTTTTTTAATTAATTAAAAATATATTTAATTAAGAAACTGTTGCAAATTATGTTTGCGTAATTATATCTTAACTTAATTACATCATAATTTTCATTTCTTCGTTTAATATCGCAGCAAATAGATTTAAATTTGATTAACCAAAATATACGATATAATCAGTATTTGTTATTAATTAAGAATAAAAATATGTCATTTTAATTGTTGCTTTTTTTAAATATTTGTTAGTTTTTCTTTTTTTTTGTTTTACGGGCTTTCCTTTACCTACCTTTGCTATATCATTAAGAAATTTTCTGAAGCGGAAATGACGTGATAAGTGATAAATTCTGATCAAATTAATTACTGATACATTTGCACGAGGAAGAATCGTTCGTGATTTTTACGTGGTAAAAAAGATTAACTTTTCTTTTTGCGCAATGATTAATAGCACTTGAACATCAAAAATAAAATTATCCACGTTGATTTTAGTTATATTCAAACTATCTTTTCGTTAATGTGAAAGTTAATAAAATAATTTATAAAAGTTATATTCATTTTATATTTCTTTTTGGCGAAAAATGAACATTGACTACTATCAAAATTTTTGAAAATTTGCTTAATTTTCAATATCAGTTGATGTAACCTAGAGATTTTGCAAAATTTTAATAAATATTATGCAAAGAAAAAATACAACAAATAATATTTGTCAATTAAAATTTGGTGATAAATTTGATCAACATGATCGATGAATTATTCTTCTCTAAAACATCTATGAATTTGTAAAAATAGACTGTTAACAAATATCTCTTGCAGTATCACAGTCTGAAACATTTAATATTATCAGTATAATCAATGCATTATTCCTCTCTAAACTTTTTTTCCTTTTTTTTTTTTAAGAAGTAGAATGATGACAAAATTCATATGCTTTTCAAACCATTCAAGTTATATTTGACGGGTAAAATTTGCGCCATAATTACTTAAATGGAACTTTTTGAAATGAAATAAATTTTAATAAGAAATCTTGCGTTTTAAAAATTAACATTGTTTAGTTTTGATGGAATTTGATAACTTGATATGATAAAAAATGATTACATCTCACAAGTTAAATCTTATTCATACTTGAAATTATTTTCCAATTGTTACACTAATGTTTTTTTTTTTCCTTTTTACAATATATAATCTCTATTTAAGAATGCGATTTAAATAAATTTTGACAAAATAATAAAACGAAATCATTTAGCATAAAAATTCAAATATCATTAAGCCAAATAATACAGATAGAAGTGTACAGTATCGGATTGTTGTTGCTTCATTGGGACACTGATCATTGCAGAGATCACCTTTACAGCAACATCCTAAACCATGCATACATCCTGCATCCTGCAATTGTACAAAGTAATTAAATATAAAATTAAAAAATTTAATTTAAAATGAATTAACTTTTCCATGTCTTTTATTAAAAAAAAAAAAAAAAACAGGGATTTTCCAATATTTTCCATTTCAAATAAAATTTAGTTGTCTTTTTTTTTTTTTTTTTTAATTCAGCAAACAATAAAGATGGAAATGAAGTACATACAGAACAATTTAAGCTAAATTCATATGAGCCATAGTGAATAATTTCATAGGAGCATCCTCTAATACAAATTCCATCAGCTGCAATAACAATAAATTTTGTACAGATTGTTTCTTCAAAAAAAAAAAAAAAAAAAAAAAAAAAAAGAAACTGAAGAAAATGAAACATAAAAAGTGTGTAAACATTTTTCAAAAATCGTTATCAAAAAATTGAGAAGCACTGAAAGTCAAATAATTCAGAAATTTAGAATTGTTTCAAACTTCAACAAAACTTGAATGAATAAAACTTATTCAATTTATCGATTTATTACATATTATAAATTTGCATAAATGCTGAAAAAGAAAATTTACTTAAATTTATTTTATTTTTGAAAAAGTAATATGTTTGTTAGCAGACCAAAGCTTTCTTTATGCTACTTGCAATGCGCAGAAATATTAATTGTAATTAATGAGAATTAATTATAAATAGAAATACCTCCAAATTTAGTCGCAAAACACATTTCATGCTTCTCTTGTTTTGGTGAACAAACTTTACGAGACACAGTTTTTCCAACACTTTCGTAGCATTGAAGACATTGTATAAAATGAAATAAATTAGCAAAAATAAGTGAATATGAAATGATTTGAAATTTCATTCTGAAATGAGCACAAAAATAGAATATTACTTTGTAAAAGTAATCTATTGATAAAAAGCAAGCATTGGGAGAATTTTGATTTAACTAACGATAAAATAAAGAGAAAAAAAAACTACGAAATTTTTTCCTATTTTAATTCATCGATGAAATTTAATAATTAATGAAGCAAATTAATCTAGCATGAGTAATTCCTGTTTTCCGGTGCTGTTTATTCCGGAAAGCATAGATTCTCATGCTATTCATTTCAATGTTTCTTTTCGTTTTTTAAAAACAAAATATTACTATAACTGACGATGATCATTGTGATGTGTTTGTACCTGGAATGTTTGTATCAAAAGCTGAAAAATATTCCATTTTTAAACCATTCATAATCAACATGACTGTGAATCATCAAAACAAACAACACCTGTACAGATTAAAGTAAAGAGAGAGAGGAAGAGAGAGGGAGACCTGGTGATATGGGATGTAACTGATACCAGTGTAGGAGTCATTTAGATCTAGCATAGGAAATAAAATGAATTTAGTATCATTGTAAAAGTTATTGAGGCTTGGTAGAGGAGATGAAATGTCAATTTGGCATTTACTGTAAAAGATTAGTTACAAATTTTTAGCAAGATATGCAAAGTAAATGCCTTAATAACTTAGGCTCTTTTTGATTTTCAATTGTTTACTTTTGTCAGATAAGGCTTTCCATTTACTTTTTTTTTCTTTCTTTTAAATACAAATCACGTAGATAAAATCAAATTCTTAGCAAAGGTCATGAAAATGAATGAATTTTACTCAAATTTATCGGAATTACAAAGTTTTAAAATAACTGATAAAGAATGCTACCTCCTCGTAACTATAGCAACGGTAATTGGAATATGATTTATCCATTTGCTAGTTGTATCAAATAAAGCAATTATAAAAATTGATGATAAATTTTCGACCACCTAGTATATATGTATGTGAACAACGATTCCAATTAATTTATTCCATTATTTAATTTCCACTTCCATTGCATACAAATTAAAGAATTTATCATTTACAAGAATAATATTTACATTGAAAATACGAAAAATTCTCACTTAATCAATGCAAAAATTCTTTAATTTAACAAATAGTAAAAAAAAAAAAGAATTTTACGTTCAAGAATTTAAGATGTGAAAAATCAGAAAACAAAATAAATAAATAACATCAATTAATTTAAATATGTGGAAAAAATGTAAAACAAATCATCTTTTAAGTTATTTCAGGAAGAACTTTTTCCAATGATTTTTGCTTTCTCCTTTTTTTCACTTTTTTTCACGTAAAACACATATTAAAATGAATGAGAGAGTGATACTTCACTTTATGGCTGCATCAACGAGCCCAATAATCTGTGAATAAAAGAAATCTTTTGGCTCGAATGATTGAATGTACACGTCACTTAGATGAAAGTTACACGTCACGTGCTGACAACTTTTACGAATACGACTAACTCACTTTGCATTTATCTCCGTGATTTATCTTCCGAGGCATATGGTATTTCACGGTCTATAACTACTTTTCCTTCATAGTGCTAAAATCATTGTATTTAATCTGTGAATGTGGACGTGGTGTTTACGTGTCATAGGAGCGGTATTGGTTTAATAATTTGCATGTTTATTTTCAATATGATAATAATTCTTCTTACGACAAATGAGTAATTGCGGTTTAATATGAAAACATTAACATTTTTATCAATTTTCAAAGACATCGATGTTATGGTGATGTAAAGTAACATTTATCTTATTATTTCAGGATAAAATATCACTTCATTCAAAAAAATGATGCAGTTAACTGAAGTGATTTCAAATCTAACGAAAAGAAGAACTACAGGAAGTGATGACAGTACCACTGCTAATAATAATGGTTTGTGACTTATTTTCTTTTCATTTTTTTTTTTTTTTTTCATAAATATTATTTTTACTTTACATGCTTGAGACAGTTATTAAAATGTGTCGAAATCTTGTTGTTTTTCAATGTGTATTAACTATGTTTCAAATAAAGCTCCTTTTATTTGATAGTTCATTTCATTTCAAATAAGATTTACAAAAATGGTATCATTTAATTCGTATAGTAATGATGGTTAGTGGGGTTGTTGAAATGTATTATTAATATTAGATAAGATATAAGAATTATTCCATATCAAATATTATGTCGTTATTTTTTCAATTTACTTCGCATCATTCAAGTGGAAATTATATGTAATTAAATTAGAAACAAAACAAGAATGTTTCGAATATTTCAAGCTTTGTCCAAAAACAGAGTATGAAAGGATGTTTATCAAATTTATAATATATCAGTTTTCTTCTTCTGAACTGTATTTTGTAGCCTACACAATCTTTTTCTCCGGAAAGGAAACTTGAGTCATTTTCCTTTTTTTTTTTTTCTTCTTTTGTTAATCGGACTATTAATCGGACAGAACAAGAAGATATGGATGAATTTGTGGATGCAGTAGATGTGTTTTACGAAGAAAGCGAAAGTGATATCTATGATGATAATGTTCAGTGTATTGTTGCTGAAAATGATGATATGATCGAGAAGGATGAGATGTTACATGAACTTGGATTGATGCTCAATTCTACATTAGCAAGCGATTATGATGGAGCTAATGTTGCACGTTTAAATGCTCATTTCTTGTGAGTGAATAATTTATTTTATTTTTTTACTTGGGTGCTATATTTTAATTATTATTATTTTTTTGTAATTGAAAATGTTGGAAATTAATACATATCATTCCAAAATTACAAATGACATTACGGGAAGTATAGGTGAAAGGCATTCTATTGAATGAAAATTGGTAATGTAGTGATGGTTTCAAGTTTTTAAGTCGCTTGAATGTTCATTACATCACTTAATTTTCACTCTTTTTATATGAATTTCTTCTCTATTGCTAGTCAACAACTCTGCCATCGAATCGTTTTTATTTTAACCTTATATGCTTGCATCTTTTCCACTTTAACCCTTTCTTTCCTTCATTTTAAATGAATTTTATCAAATATTTATCCTTCAAATGTATCTTTCTACGATTCTCTTGTTAGAACTAACACAATGTACAGATCTCACTTTTTTAACTTATAGTAATGATTGGAAAATTTTGCTGGAAAGACAGGCAATTGAACTTGGTTTCCCTAGTCTTGAAGAACTACTCAAATCAGAATACATGAGAGATTACGTGGAACAAATATCGTCAGTTAATGGTGTTGCTATTTACGGAGCTGTCTCTAAACCTTCCAATGAACATATTCTTCGGAGAGTTGCTGATTGCAAATTAAGCGAGGCTCAGAGGTAAATTTTTACTATATTATAAAAGGATGTTCATTATGATGCTTCAGTTTTTGTTATTATATTGAAAATGAGGAATAATATTCAATAAGATGTTCTTTTTGTTAAATGTAATATTTTTTAACATTTGATAGTAATGCTTCAGAAGTCATAAGAAGATGGGTAGCACATTGAAAGGTTTTTTTATATTAATCAAGTAAGTGGTAATTGTCGAATTTTTCCTTTGAAATTTTCAGGGCTGAAAAACGACGAATACAAAGATTGGTGGAGCTGAAAAACCCTGAAAATTCACGAAATTTTCTAGAGGTTTATGCACATTTTATGTTGTACTTAGAGAAGTTTATAAGCTCGATTTTTTCTTTTATGAATTGACAAGAGTCTGAAAAAAAAATGGTGTGTTAAATTTTATCTGATATTCCTATTCTATATGATTCACTGCTAAAAGCAACAAGTAAATTTTTCATTACTACAAAATTGAACTTGATACTAGAGGTAAGTTTTCAAGTTTTTTACACAAATTTTTCTTTCTAAAAATTTGCATTATACTTTCATTTTTCATACATTTAGGGTAAACGTCGAATTCTGCAAATTTTGCTGGATTTGAAGGCATATGAAATGGAATTTGATTATCAAACTATCCGGGACGAATATATGAAACGTTACAGTACTAGTTTGAATGCTGCGGTTAATATTTGTTACATTTTTATTAAGTAGTGAATTTATTTGTACTTTTTTTCAGTTCCTTTATTACTGTTCTTCTTTAGGTATTAATTTTGAATAAACCTTATTTTAGGAGCACCAACGATTATTCATGAATAAATCGGCATTGAAAAATTTTTTGAGAGTTTTTTATCGAGAAGTTATTTTAATTAATGACAGTCCCATTCGAGTAAGACTCAGAAGTCCGGATATAAAAAGTAGGTATCTTCACTGCAACTCAGTAAATAATAATGAGTTATTTGTTATTTCTTGTACTTGTTTACCTAATTTATTGGTTAGTTTCTGCTTAGCTTCTAAGCATATGCCTGAAAAATTGCTCAAGAGCTATTCCGTTTTTTACTGTTGGTATTGAGAAAGTGATTAATAATGAATGCAAATGTCATCTATAATTGATATTTAATTATTGTATTTTGGCTCTACGACATTTTAAATTAAATTTAGCATTCTCATTTTTAGTACCAGAAGAAATAACAGAAGATCTTCGTTTGTTAGCAAACATAGATAACGCTGAACTTCCAACATTTGCTTTGGATCGATCATCTATATTGAACATTGTAGACAAAGGTTTATGTTTAATTTTTCCCTTTTCAAGTTTTTTGCTACAGTCTGCTCAACTTTCTCCTTCTTCTGCTACTTGTTCGATGAAGTTTTTGCCATCATTAATCAACTGCACAAAGCTACCAGTCGAAGTAAAGACAGATAGCCAAAATGATGTAGCGATTTAAGCACTGTGATTCATGGACAGAACACATATCTAGGTAAATTCAGGTTATTGTTTGTGAAGTAAGAAATAAAATAGTTTTGCATTAAATTCTGATATGATTCATTTACATACGAAAGTTTTAATATTATGGATTTATTATGGAAATTGGCTTAAAATTATCCATCTCTGTAATAGTACAATGAATTTTCACACAACTTCTGTTAGTGAACTTATGAACACTTAACCTTATTTAGGAACAGTAAAATATTCAGAAGATGTTATCGCCTCTGGTGAAAGTATTTCGAAGGTAATGAATCATTATTTAATTTTAAGCAGTTCAGTGGTCACCAGTTTTAATTTTTGCTGATGATATGATTTTTTTTTTCTTTTTTAAAGTGTCTAGTCTGGTTTCGGATTTTATATGCGCTCATGAATGTGTGATATGGTTTTTTCTTTTTATTGATGGATAGTTTTTTTTTTTTTTTCTTTTTATTATACATTAATTAGAAGATTCATTTCAAAAAGAAAGTATTTTTACCGAATAATATATGCAAATTTTGATAGATCATGTAAGATACAAATGTTTTGAAATCTGCAACTTGTAAACGGATATCCGATATTCAAGATAATTTTTCGGCATAGTTTAATGCAGTAGAAAAGTTTTTTTTCTCAAAAAAAAGGAAAGAAAAAAGCAGGGTGAACTCGAAATTGGACTATTAAATTGAAAACTATCTTGCACTTTTTTTTTATGCCTTTGTTTTTTGCTTATTTCATGAAATGAAATTTAACAAAGTATAGATAACCAAAATGTTTCTTTTGATAATGGAAATAAATTTAAATAAAAAAGCCTGCTGTTAAATGATGAATTATGGTTCTATTGAAATCATTCTAATTGTCTTTCTATTCGAATAATTAGAAAAGTGCAAGAAGTCTATTTGATCGTTTAGTTAAACTAAGATATACACTATAATGTATATACTTTGTCGTGTATTATATATACAGAATTTTTTTTTTTTAACTTCAGAAACAAACAATGGATAAAGAAACGAACGATGAAGATAGACAAGTAAACAGTGCGAAGCATAATGGGAATGCTGATGTGATTAATAACGTGATGCTTCATCATATACCTAAAACGTGTATGCCAACTGATACGAGTAAAATA